CAAGCCCGAGCCGGCCCCGCGGGGCCACGCCCCCGGACACGCCCACCGCGCCGCCTCATGAATATTCATAAGGACGGAGCCCTGGAGCGGGAAGCAGGGGCAGCGTTCGCCCCAGCCCACCACCCGCGAGCCGGCGCTGCCCGCGCTCAATTATTCATGACCTTTGCAAATGAGAGGCCCGCCCCGGGCCCAGACTCCGGCGAAACTGACGCAATTTACCAGTGCCACCGAGATGACTAGCCTAGAGAGGAGGCCGCTCTGGACCGCCCTTCCCATGCCCAGCCGCCGGCACTGATTGCGGTACCATAGAGCGCGGGCAAGAAGGTAGCCATTGGCGGACCGCAGAGGAGGCTTCCTGTACCTGCCGGGCCGTCCCGGGCCGTCCTGAGCGCGAGAGCGCGGCCCCCACGTGGACAGACCCTGATTCAGAGCAGCCTGTCCCGTAGCTCAGTTTCTTCCCACCCACAATACAGTCTTTCCTTTCTGCACAGAACACAAGCTCCACACATACTTTCTGGAACCCCAGTACACACACACACACACACACACACACACACACACACACACGAAACCACCAATCCCATTACACACACACACACACACACACGAAACCACCAATCCCATTACCCCCCACTCGACCCCCGGCTCAGGTTTCCACACTGCTGGCTGCGGGGGAAGATAAGTCAATTCTGATTCTATTAACTAAAGCCTTGGAAGACCCTTAACTGGAAGGTAATTGAGGCTGGAGCCAAGAACTGCCTCGATCTGCCTTGACTAATGGAGTGGAGCTGCGAGAGACTTCCTAATCAGATCAGTGTTCATTTCTAGCCTCTCAGGTGGCACGTCCTGGCAGAAGAGGGTGAAAACCAATGCTTGTCCAGCCGGGAACAGAACGAGAGGTACCTGGAGATTTGCTTCCCGGCTGGTGGGGGCCCCGCCTGGTCAGGACGGAAAGGTAAACACCACCATGCAAAGTGGAAAGGATATGAGACGGTCTAAAAAGGAGGCATACGGACATGGCTTCCAAAGTCAGTTCCCTTTATTAAATGTTGATTTCACAGACCAGAAATACAAAATAAAGGTAGAAACAGGCCCCGTTAGGAGCTACAAGCCTGACCTCATGTGACCTCTGCTGCAGCAACTTGAACAGGACAAGAAGCAGCCATATCCCTAAGGTCGTTAAGTAGGGCAAGGACTTGGATCCTGGGCTGCCCTGCAAAGACAGTGGACAGACTCCTACCCAGTCTCTCCCCAAATGACAAGGAGCTATCCTTGAAGACACTGCCCCAATGAAGAGCATGCCACCAGGAGAGGTTGTTCAGATGGCACAGAATCCCAGGACTGCATAGCGTGTAGGAGAAACTGGTACCAGACGTGAGCTGGGAGTCTGGGGTGAGGCAGGGCTAGCGCAAGGAGAGAATTTTCTTCCTCTCTACTCATCCGATCCTGACGCTGAGTCTTCTGAGCTGGGAGGTGTACTGGCTAGTTCCTCATCTTCAGAGTCCTGAAAACCAAAGTTCTCTTCAAGGCATGGTACCCAGGATGGGCTGCGTTCCCAGCCACTTTTCGGGGGTGAAGGGCCCCCTGATTCTGACCAACCTCCCAATCCGGTACTTCACCTTCAGAATTCCCAAGGCCACATATCCAATTCATTACTCTTAGAGACTAACCACACTCCATGCCCCAACCCCCCAGCCCCCATATTCCTGCCGCTCGCACCTCGCTCCGCCTCCTCTTCTTTTTGCTCTTGTTCTCTCCTGAAGAGCTCTCATCACTGGACACAAATTCTTTGCTTTTGAAGCTCTCACTTAGCTGCCTTGATGATGACTTCGATGATGAGCCCCTAGAGGGTGTGGATTTCTTTTCCATCTTTACTTTTACTTTCTTCTTCTTCTTTGACTTGTCCCTGCGGTCGCACAAGGGAAATGAAGTGGGCCAAGCCTCTCCCAACTTTTGGGATGCCTTTCCCAGTTCCTGCCACACTGCTGTTGTCACTGCAGGCATCGTCAACCATGTCGGCCCAAAGTACCCAAAGAAGATTATCGTGAGTAGAGAAGAATGAGGAGTCAGGGCCTGAAGTGGCTATATAAACAACACTTGAGTCATCTTTAAAAACTCATGAGAGTTTCATATCAGGCAGCACAGTAACTTTTTTTTAAATCTTCACATACTGTCAAGTAAGACTCTTGGCAAATGGGTTATACTTTATATATCTAATGATTGTATCTAATACTTCATATATCAAATGACTTGAATTCTTCCAATATATCACCCACACTTGGGCAATGACCTGACTGGGCTTAAGAACAGCACTACTGCAGACAAAAATGTATCTTAACGTTAACACCCCACTTCTCAACTTTGATCTGCAAAAAAGAAACCTGCTAAAAAAGCAATTACTGAGCCACTTTGTTCCCGACACTCACCTCTTAGATGACTCGCCTCGCCCTCCTTCATATTCTTTCATGGCTTTTTCATATTCTCTCCTGGCATCTTCAGCTTTGCGGTCCCACTCCTGTCTCACACACAGACACACACACACAAATCAAAGAGTCAGAGCTCTTCCCTGACACAGACAAAAATCTATACAGAGGAATATCACCAGTGGTCTCCCTGCCCCCTCCCCACCCCAGCCTACAAGATCTCCACCCCACCTTCTCCACTGCTACTCGCCTCTTTCTTCTCTTTGGACATTCCCTTCCAGATCTCGCCTGCCTTCTTGGAAAGATCTGTGATACTGATACCAGGGTGGTCTGACTTGATCTTCTCTCGACTAGCATTGAGCCACAGCATGTATGCAGACATCGGCCTCTTAGGGGCGTTGGGATCTTTACCCTTCTTTGCCTGTGTGAAGAAGAATCCAAATGCTAGTGGCCACCTACGTACCAGACACCCTCCATTTTTCTGAAGAAATTACATACATCATGGAACGGGGAAAATGGAGGAAGACCTAAATAGTAGCAAGTGAGCAGGGGGTTACATCTTCTTCCTCAAGCTCACGAGGGGCTCAGGGAACACAAACAGTCTAAGTCAGACTTTCCACAATTAATGATCTCTGGCCTGGAGAGAAACATTTCCAACGCCCACCCCGTTCTCCCTCCCCCCTCCCCACCAAACATAATCACTGGCTACAAAGAGGCGGTCCCAGAAGGACCAATCAACAGGACCTGTTGGTAATAAGCAAGAGAAAGTAGAAAGGATGGACACACACACACACTTCCCTGCTACAGCAGTTTGTACCTCTACAGGCTTCTTGCGGCTCTTGCGATCCTTGGCCATCTTGGCCCTTTTGAGCTGTTTCCTCTTCTTCTCCTCCCGGTCACTGTCACCTTCGTTGCTGGAGGAGCTGGCAGAAGCATTGCTGTCGAACCTGCCACAGTGGAACTGAGAATCAGGAGAGGAGGGCAAAACCCAGAAGTCTCAGGACAGGAGGAAAGAACATCTAAAGATGACCTCAACCATCCTTCTCTAGACCCAACCACTGCGTTATCAATGAGCTCTAACTGCTCTCCTTGGTCCTGGCCTACCTACGCTTCCATCCCATTTCTACCTCTGGACAGAGATCTCATTCTTGTCCAGTCCATGCTAAGTCCACTTCACCTCTTCCTTTGCTTGTTTATTTGGAGGCACTGGAATTTGAAGGCAGGGCTTTACACTTGCTAGGCTGGTGCTCTAATACTTGAACCACACCAGAAGACTGTTTTTTGGTTTGTTTGTTTTTACTATTTTTGGAGTCTAGGAATTTTTCTGATGGGCTAGCTTCAAAACCATGATCCTCTAGATCTCAGCCTCTTGAGCAGCTGAGATTCTAGGCGTGAGGTTATTGGGGCTGGGTTAGTCCTCATTTACATATACTCTTACCATATAAACTAGAGCCACCTGACCCCGTCCACTGCTGAGCAGTTTTCCAAGGCAATTAACAAGCGCGTCCTACAAACAGGGCAAGCCGAATTCAGTGGACTCCTGAAGGGTCTTTCTGGCTTTGGCTATCACTGCCCAACATTCATTTGCAAACCTTCTGGATTAAGAATCCCGTTTTCTTGTTGAGAAAATGAGGACTCAGCCCAGCTCCATGGGAAGGCATATGGCCCAGCTCCTGTCCATCAGAGCACTGTACACCTTAGTAACTGAGGCTCGGAGAAAAGACAGGTGACCGCATGGTTCTCTTTGTACTTCTGCTGTGAAGCTGGTAGCATTAAGCCTGCCTACACCTTCTGAGGGTCATTTGGCACCCAATATAGCAAGCCTGACTACAAATAAGGGAATCAGAAAAAAGAAACAAAGCTAGGCACCAGTGGCTTATACCTGTAATCCTAGCTATCAAGAAGGCTGAGATATGAGGATTGCAGTTCAAAGCCAACTCCAGCAGGAAAGTCAGTGAAACTCTTATCTCCACAGCTCAAAGTGGTAAAGGACCCAGGCCCTGAATTCAAGCCTCATGACCAACAATAAATAAATGAACTCGATACCCACAAGTTTTCAGTACTTAGATCTAAAGCCAATTACAGCCCTAGCCCTTCTAAGTTATAGGAATTTATTAAAATCCGTTATGCTCCTCAATGTAAGTCCTATTCAAACACTGGCAATTAAAATCTTTTTTTTTTTTTTTTGGTTGGTCATGGGGTTTGAACTCTGGGCCTGGACACTATCCCTCAGCTCTTTAGCTGAAGGCTAACGCTCTACCACTTGAGCCACAGTGCCACTTCGTTTTCTAGTGGTTAATTGGAGGTAAGAGTCTCATGGACTTTCCTGCCCGGGCTGGCTTTGGACCATGATCCTCAGATCTCAGTCTCCTTAGTAGCCAGAATTACAGGTGTAAGCTGATAAGCACCTGGCTTTTTTTTAGATGTTGGTTTTTGTTTTTGCCAGTCCTGGGGCTTGAAGTCAGGGCCTGGGCACTGTTCCTAAGCCTCTCTGTGTTCAAGGCTAGCGCTGTACCACTTGAGCCACAGTGCCACTTCCGGCTTTTTCTGTGTATGTGGTACTGAGGAATCAAACTCAGGGCTTCATGCACGCTAGGCAAGCACTCTACCACTGAGCCTGGCAATTAAAGATCTTGACTGATTTAATGCAAGGGAGTAGTAGCCTGCCGCTTACAGGTGAGGAAACCAAGGTTTAGTGACTTTCTAAGAACTAGCAGATGGCAAGCTCGGGCTGTCATTGCACTTTCCCACTTTACTTCCCTGGCTTCAAGTCATGCTATGCACTAATACTGCCTCTGATGCACTAACACTCGGTTTATCATCTCACTGGAGGATACATGGCCATTCTGGGTCAGTGGCAAATACTGAGACCTAAGAAATATCCTTCTATCTAATGGTCCGTCAAGCATACAAGCACCACTCAGCCCAAAACTTACTCCTCTGCTACGTCTTCTTCCTCTTCACCTGGGTTGAATGACTCATCTGGAAACACAAATAAACACGGACTGCATCAGCTTCTGTACTAGTTCAAGTCCCACTTTTTTTTGGGGGGGGAGGGTCTCTGTTGTGGGGCTTGAATTCAGAGCCTAGGCACAGCTGGCCCTGAGCTTTCATACTCAAGGTTAGTGTTCTACCACTTTGAGGCACAGCTCCACTTCCAGATTTCTGGTAGTAAACTGGAAGGAAGAATTTCATGGACTTTCTTTTCTGGGACGGCTTGGAACTGCAGCTCGCAGATCTCAGACTCCTGAGTAGTTAGGATGACAGGCATGAGCCACCAGGGCCCAGCATGGAAGTTCTACTTCTTACCCAGACACCCAGCTCTAGTCCCAGGAGGTATCTATCCCAGGCCATAGGAAGAGAATGCCTGCCCTTTCCCCCCCCCCCCACAACCAAGGCTAGCCCACCAGTTTCTTCTCCTGATTCATCGCTGCTGTCATTGGCATTCTCTTCTCGGATCTTGCCCTCTTCCTTCATCCTCTCCAAGTAGGCATCATGCTGGTCTTCATCAGAGTCTGCATATTCATCGTAGCTTGGGTTCATGCCCTAGCCAGGGAGGACATGGGAGTGAGGGCCCTAATCCTCAAACCTATACCTCAGCACACTCCAAAAACACTACTGCATGCCTGTGAAATCAGAGCAGCGGCTACTAGAAGACCTGGGAGCCAGACTGTCCACACACGGCCAACATGCAGGGCCTATGCCTGAGTACTTCCTGCCACACTGGGTTAGTCCAAGCCCCTCCCTCTCCTGGCCCCACAGAGGGCTGTGATGAGGCTGCCCTGATCTAAGGCCATGCAGAGAAAAACCTGGACCAGGAAGGGGAAGGGGTCACACGCACCTCTTTTTTCTATAAGGGTGAGAAGAGAAGAGAGAGTGAAAAGGAAGCCTGAGAATCTCTGCTCCTTTCTCCCCTACAGACAGAACAGGAGAGGGCTCATCCTCCCCACACACAGGTACCTCTTTCAATCCCCGGTTTTTGATGTTCAGCTTTTTTGCATTGACAAAATCAAACAGCTTCCCATACTCCTCTCTGGGAAGAGAGATACAAGAAAGTGTTAGCAGATGGTTAGGAACAACTCAGGGGTAGACTAAGCAGTGTTCTCACAGACGTGGAATGGGCAGATGGTAAGGCTAGAGCTCTTGGCCACATCACTCAACCTAACATCTCTCAAGACCCCCAGAAGGCAAGCAGTCTGAACGGTCAAACATGAGTCTTCCAAGAGGAACCTGTGTGGCCTTGAATTCTGGGAAGGAACGATGAAGAGTAGCAGGATGGGTGCTTTCAACTTTTTTACAGGTCTGATTTCATACCTCACCAGGTTCTTATGTGGATTAAACAGGAAGACTTCTGTAAACTATTTAGCCTGTACTGGGCACTCAATAATCATTAGCTTCGAGGTTGCTGGGCACCAACGCTCATTCCAGGAAAGAGAGAGATAGCATTTCCACCATGGCGGGAAGCGGAGGAAACAAAACAATGAGTGCCAACACACAGCAATCCTAACACTGGAAAATACATTTTCTAAGGACAAGAACAGAAGGACTGCATCCCAAGGAGGCAGAAGAAAAATTCAATTCAAAACGCAAAAAGTCAAATTCCAAGCTCGGGGAGGGCCCCGGGCCACATCAAGCTCCTAATGGAAGATGGGTGAAGACTAGGATGTTGGGGCAGTCATGGAGGGATGTACTCACCTCTCGATGCTGCTGAAAGTGTACTGTGTGCCCTGCTTGGTCTCGATTTCAAAGTCAAAGGAGCGAGTGGTAGTGGTGCCACGGGCAAAGTTGACGAAGGAAATCTCGTCGAAGCGGATGTGCACTGGTGGCTTGTGGACGTAGATAAAGCCACGTTCCAGAGGGTAGAGTAATCCTGAACTTGCCTTGTAGGAACAGGTGATACACTGGGCCCCCGAGTGCCTAATGGAGGGGGCAGGGAACCCAGTCAGGGCCAACAGCACCTCTGCAACACATTCTCAGGCCCTTCATGGAGCAAACCTCACAAGCCGTTCTGACTGAGATGCTGAAACCCGTCACAACGCAGGATCTGAGCCCAGCATCTCATCAGTGGTTTGCATTTCCATCGCAGGAGGGACTTGCCAAAGACACAAGGCATTTCTCACCCCTCCTCACCACACTCCCCCCACCCCAATCCATGCATAGGCCTGGATTTCATTCCTATGCTCCTCACCCCTGGAAATTGCCTGGGACTGTGATCTTGCGGTTCACGAGTGCTTTCATGACCCGGCTGACCATCTCGTAGAGGGATCCAGACATGTTCTTGGTGAGCCGCCCCTCAAAGCGCTTCTCCACCTCTTCCCTACGAACAGACCCAGGTGAGCCCACGGGCCCTGCTGCCATCCAATGGCACACCTGTCTCGTGCCCATACAGCTCCAGGAAAAATGAATCCAGAGACAAACTCACTCATTCATGTTGAGGGTCAAAGAGATGTCCTCATCCTTGGAGAAGAGGAGGATCAGGAAGTGGTAACGGGTTTGGCCCTGCTTGATGGGGGGATCCAGGCTAATCTGGTGAGGGCAAGTGGACAAAGTTAAAGTCAAGCTCTCAACACCAGTTAGATCTATCTACTGAAGACTTGGGCAAAGATTAGGAACACACACACACGCACACACACACACACACACACACACACACGCACGCACGCACACACGCACCCATGGTTTCTGCTTACTACAAAGAACATCTGGCGTTGGTCCTTGTGAGGCAGCAAAAAGAGACGCAGTACGGTGGTGTAGGGAATCTTGTAGTCGAAGGTCTTGCCATGCAGGTGAAGGAAGGTGGGGTAGATGCGAATGTCGTAACGACCGCGGGGGGTAAGACACTGCAGCTCCCGGAAGATGCAGATGGCATCTCCAGTGGCCTGGATTACATCCGCCTTTGACAGCACATTCTGGGCAAAGGCCTGCAAAAGTACATCTTGACTACTGGGCAACAGAACCCTGTTTTGTCCAGGCTAGCTGGCTGTGGCCTGCTTAGCATCATCTGTTCCCTAGGCAACCAGGGAAGGCCTCACCTCTACGGGGTCCACGCCATCCTCCTGGGTGGGAGGGACGTAGAAGCGCACCTCCATGAGAGACACCTCGGCATCATCATTCTGGTGGAATTCCAGGGTTACCTCATTCTTGCCTGTTGTGCACTGGGACACATTGCTTAGGGGAATCTCGAAGACTGGCTGGTCACCAATGTCAAAGGAAAGCAGCTGCCCTGTGAGGAAAGGGACGATCAAACCACAAGCTCCCCTGCTTAACGCAACAGACACATCTACCAGGTTGTCAATTCCACGTGGACAAGATGTTGGAACTATTCTGTGCAAGACACAGTGCCTAAAGCACTTACAAGTGCTTGGTAAATACACAAGGAACACACAAATTGGGAATGAGAGCAGTGACAGAAGGAAGAGAAAACAAAGCAGGGAGGAGCTGAAAACCCTTCACCCCACCTTTTCCCCCAAACCTTGATCTTTCCCAAGACTCACCACCAAACTTCACTGTCCCCCAGTTCCAGCCCTTTACACATAGGTCTTTCTCCATTAGCTCAAGGCGATAATGCGTTTTGAAGAAGTCAGCAAGTTTCTCAAACTCCTGTCAGTGGAAGGAAGAAAGCACAATCCCAGCAAATCCACAAAGCCTTCACACAATTCAAAGCTTTAAGGATTATCTATCTCAGAAAAACTGCTCCAATCAGAAATCCACCTGCGCTGGTGGCTCACGCCTATAATCCTAGCTACTCGGTCCAGATCTGAGGATCATGGTTCAAAGCCAGCGTGGGGAAGGAAAGTCCATGAGACTCTTATCTCCAATAAAACCACTAGAAAACCAGAAGTGGCGCTGTGGCTCAAGCAATAGATCACTCGCCTTGGAGCTGAAGAGCGCAGGGACAGCACCCAAGCCCAGAGTTCAAGCCCCACGACCACCAAAAAAAAAAAAAAAGCCACCGCAGACTTAATAACACAGTTCTCAAAGTGTTCAAACGGTTATGGAAAAGAGGCTGTTTCTGTTCCCTAGCCTCAAGCTAGGGAAGGGATACAGTACTGATTTAGAAAAAGGCCTAACCATGTAGACTTTTTAAACTTTGTGTAGTTATGATGGAAGTGGACATTAAAACCAAGCAGTTTTGAACTCAAGGAATTCAAAATGGAGAAAGCAAAATGCTAACTAAACCAAGACTATGAAACACAAAGTGGAAACCACTGTTAAGACAGGAGAAAAATCTTCTGGCCTCAAGGCACAAAGAAAGTCACGTGACTGACACTACTCAAAGCTAACCATGATTATTCAATGGCTTCAAGAACCCGGCTCTAAACACCACACGAAGTATCAGTGACTGTGGTAATCAGAGGAAGGAACTCCCAACGCTTGGTAGATTCCAATGAGATGGGGTACAAGAAGTCTCACCGATTCTCGGAAGCCATCATACTTGTAGACATGGCCATTTTTTGTGAGCAGTTTAAGTCCATGGCCCAGGGCTACGCGGCGCCAGATGCCTTCAGTCAACTCCCCAGCTTGGATGTTGTCCACTTTGCCTGTCTTGCTGTTCTTGAACATGATACCCTGACGACTCAATCGCAGCCGGCCGTCATTCTGTCGGAAAAGTAGACCCAGATGCAGGAAGGACAGACAAGAGTGCACAATGAGGCCCAGTTCTACTCTTACTCTCTTTCTGGCTGTTAGGGGACTGACTAGAATATTGAGGGAATACTAAGTGCCAGAAAGAAGAACGGACAACCTGGAAGTATGAATTCTAAACCTAGCTCTGGCCTCCAAAAACCCTTGCAGGTCCTCAGTTTCCTGGTTTGTAACATAGTATCTACCATCTCTTCTAAATCCACCATCCTATCATTCTTGAGACTGGGCAATCTGTGGCAGACGCCATGAGATACACATTATCCTGAGTATAAAAGGATAATTTTGTTACCCCACACATCATCTAAGTTAAGCTTTCGTTCATGGATTGTACCCTCTTTCCCTCGGTCCCTCTGCGTGGAAAGCCCCTTTCTCACCATGGAGCCTTTCACCTCCTGATAGATGTCGTTGAACTCCAGCGTCTCTGCCATGTTGACCTGCTGTGTCGGCCTGGGCGCGGGGGCCCTGCCTGGGAAAGTGAATTAATCTGGGAGCCTGGGTCCCACAAACTCTTGGGTGTGCGGATGGATGCTCACTCAGCAGGGCGCGAACCTGAACGCGGGAGGGAGACCAGCAGAAGGGTGGGGGGGTCCGTCAGGTGGCAGCCCCCCCACCCTCCCTGGGCCGCACCCGGGCCGGCTCCAGGGTCCCCTCCGCGGGTGCCCGCCCCCCCACCCCCAGGGCCAGGCCCACACTGGCCTGGAGCAAGCGCTGACACCCCAGGCCGACACCCCTCCACCGGGAGCCATGGCAACGAGCAGCAGCCCACCCCCACCCCCGCCCCTCACCCCCGCCAGGACCCGCACCTCCACTCGGCCCCGAGTGCGAGTTCCCCACCCCGCGCTCCGCCCCGACCCCGGGGCTCCAGACCCACGCTTCTCCCCCACCCCCGTGTGTAAAATGGATCCGCCCGCGGCCCGCCGATTTGAACGCGGAGCGGTCCATCCGGAGCCGCACCGCGGGG